GGCCTCACAAACAAGCAAAAACTTGTTTTGTTTATACTTTTCCTTTTAACGCAATCTGTTTTCGCAAAGTCCAAAGCTCATCTTCAGCTCACACTTCCAAGTTCACAGCTTCAAACTAAATTGATAAAAGAATGAAAATAAAAATAATGAAAAACCATCCACATAATTGAAAAATCTTTGGATTTTTGAGCTTTGGACTATGCGAAAACAGCTTGTGTTAAAAGGAAAAGAATAAACCAAACAACCAAAAATCAATTATGTGGATGACAACCTCTGGCTGATCACCTTTCTCCAAGAACCCCCTGCAGAAGCTTTGTGACATCCTTCAACCTGGAACCAAGGAAGTAACACACCATCTTGGAGTCATAGCAACTGCTCTGCCCAAGACCACAAGAAATTACAGAGAGTTGTGAATATAGCCCAGTTCATCGTGCAACCCAGCCTTCCATCCATTGACCCATTCTAAACTTCTCACTGCCTTGGAAAAGCAGCCAATATAATCAAAGACCACCCCCACTCTGGTTACAGAAGTTTGAAAACACATATCAATAAATTAAAGAACAGCTTTTTCCCACTGTTATCGGACTTTTGAACAGACCTCTCAAATATTATAGTTGATTTATCTCTGCACGTTCTCTGAAGCTGTTATACTGCGCTCCGCATTCTGTTCTGTTACCCTGATGTACTAATGTAAGGTATGATCTGCCTGAATAGCACACAAAACAATACATTTCACCGTATCTTAGTAAATGTGACAATAATAAATCAAATCAAAATCAGAATTTGATCGGCACTCAGCCCATCAGAGAGTATAAATTACCAAGTGTGAACTCTTCCATAGGCCATTTTCCCGGTGTTAAAATGTTAGTGTGGGGGCGGGAGGTGGGGTTGGTTGGCCATGGCAGTGTTACCAGCCTATTTGCAGTTTTTAATTAGTTAAACTCTGCTGGGGCTTGTGAATGGAGCTTGGCAAAGCTTAGCTAGTCTTCCTTCTGGTTCCCTGCAGGCAAGGTGGGGGTGGTGACTGAGATCTGTTTAGTTGCTTACTCGTGCACTCTTAACACAATGCTCTGGGCAGAATTGCAGACAGACCTCTATGGGTGCAAAAGCAGCTGTAGACTGTCTTATAGAGGGGCTCTCCCTATATGTTCCACTCCACCACATTCTTCCACACCCCCAAATCCCCTATGGTGTCCTGATTATTATCTTCACTGGCATTGATTTTTGACAGGTGTTAAGCCTGTATGTTGTAGAGTTTTGGAGCACTGTGCTGACTCTTTGGTCATGTTTTGTTTTTATTGGGCCATGGAGCAGCACAGTGGCCCAATGGTTAGCACTGCTGCCTTACATTGCCAGGGACCGATTCCACCCTCAGGCGACTGTGTGGAGTTTGCACGTTTTTCTCGGGTGCTCCAGTTTCCTCCCACAGTCCAAAGGTATGCAGATTAGGTGGATTGGCGATGCTAAGTTGTCCATCGTGTCCAGGGATGCATAGACTAGGTTGATTAGCCATGGGAAATGTGGGGATACAGAGATAGGATTGGGGGTGGTGGGTTGGAGTGGGTCTGGGTGGGATGATCTTTGGAGGGTCGGGGTGGACTTGATGGGCTGAATGGCCTGCTTCCACACTGTAGGGATTCTATGACTCTATGGATTCCTTCTAATAAGTATATGGTATATGGTTGCAAAGGAGTTGAAATCCCACAGCACAGGTGAAACATGGAGATATAAGCTTCCTACTTATTGCCACTTACTACACCCCATCAGCCATTTTTTTGTATCACGTGGTGTGAATCGATTTTGGTTTAGGTCTGGCATGCTGGGGACCTCAGGTTGAGCCGAGGATGGATTGTCCATTCAGTATTTCTGGTTGAAGATGGATGCCATTACATCAGAACACTGGTAGATCTGGTCACAGGCAAAATAACCCTTTAATGCAACATTGTTTATATTTTACTTCTGAGTTCTGACCATTGTCAGGAGAGGATGTGGGGCTTCCCTGGGTGTGAACAGAAAAATGGATTTTTTATCCACTCTGACAGTGATGTAGTATAGCATTTTCAGTCTGTCCAAGCTTTTAAACACTTTTTGGGGATTTGAATCAAGTCAAGGTTTTGGTTTCTTTCTTCAATCTTGTCTTTTATTTCTGCTTTTGTTTTTTTAAAATTCTGTTTTTTTTATATCTGAAAATGGTGACTTTGTATACTTTTCACTGTACTCCTGTATTTCTGTACTTGAATACTCATGACAATAAATGTAATTCTAATTCTAATCTTGTAAACCAGTTTCATATCCATTCAAGCCTTTATGCTTAATGGTGAATGTTCTTGGTCCTGGATTACATATAGTGTTTCAAAGCTCCTGCACCACACCCCAAATATTTGCTGTTATCAGGCCTTTGATTTTAAGTTTATCTCATTTGGAACTTTAGTTGAATTAACGAAGGTTACAGTCAAATTTGATTGAGCCATTCAATCTCATCTGAGTGTGCATTATGTACTGCTCATTTGTCGAGTTTGAAATTACTAGGGTATTCATTGACCTCTATATTAAGACTGTAGTATTTACTTTTTTTTTCCCTTAGTATCTCCAAGGAAGGTCATTGCTTTATTTGCTGGTTCTTTGATTTCTTGGATGATGATCTTTGGTGGCTTTTCCCTCTGCTTTTGAGGATAAAAATTCCTTGGAGTGACATTCTGATTAAAATTATTGAATTTCCCAAATCCATGTGATTTAGGCAGTGCATTCTTTGAGCTGCTGGACCTTTTTCCCAACTTAGCGACAATATGACAAGCTGATATCTGGCATGCTGTCTCGATGCTTCCTTGGGTGCTATTCGGACACACTTTCATTTGTGTAGCCAAAGGATTTGTCTCCGTCCCCTTTAAGACTTGTCTCTGTTTTTGGATTTCAGCCTGCCTCGACAACTGACATTAGGTCTGCTTAGATTATACGAAGTCCGAGAGAGTTTTGTCAAAAACTCTGACCACTGTGCTGTCCCTGAGATGTCTTTTAGCATTGTGTAATTGTAATTATTGCCAAACAGTAGAGATCATAATAAAGCAGCCAGTGTTTTCCCCAGACATTTGCTTAACCCTGTGTAAAAACTAAAGAATCAAAAGCACTGATTAGGCCCCCATAGGCCTCCTCAGCTTGCCTGCAATGCTGCCCACTGCATGCAACAATATACTGACCCAATCTTTTGATTTCTGTCATTTCAATAATATGTAAATGACTTTCTCCGATTTTGTTATTTTTGTTTTACTTGTTGTGGTTATGCAATGTTTTCAAATGCTTTTGGAAGTGGCAAGGTTGAATCCAGGTCTGCACATAGCACTGAATTTTCATTCTGCGATGCTACTTTGCTAGTCACTGGATGGTGTCTGTCTTCCAAGGTTTTCCCTGTATGTTTATCAGAAGCTTATCTTGAGGTGTCACTTGCTGTACTGACTGTGCTGCCCTCTGGTCTTCAATGAGAACAGTTTCTCCCTATCTACTCTGCTCAGACCCTTCATGAATTTGAATACCTCCCTCAAATTTCCTGTTAACCTTTATTCACCAAAGAGAGCAGTCCCAACTTCACTAATCCATCTACGTAACAAAAGTTTCTTGGATTATTCTCATGAACCTTTATTGTACCTTTTCAATTGCCTTCATGCCCTTACCGAAGCGTGATACCCAGAACTGAATGCAGTACTCCAGTTGAGTCTGAACCAGTGTTTTGTGCAGGTTTAGCATAACCTTCTTTTGATTCATACTTAAATTATTTAACTCTATATGGAGGCTGTGAATGTCAGAAGCAACAGACACTGGTTGTGTAGCTTTTGTTTAAGAAGTGCTGTAATCTGTGTCTGAGCAACCTGGTGTACAATCTAAAGCTTGCCCAATATGGGACGGAATTAATCATTTATATGGCTTTTTATTTTTAAAACTAAATTGGCAAACAAGGTAGAGCTGCATCTTTATTCATTCAAGGAATGAGGCATCAATGCCTAGGCCAGCATTTACTCCCTATCTCTAACTGCCCTGAGGGCAGTTAAGAGTCAACCACATTGCTTACAACCAGGCAAAATGTTTCTACTGATGCAAAAATTATGATAGAATTGCCAACTGCTGTTTTTGATGAACAATTTTTGTTTACTGTTCCATTTCAGTGTTTTTAGCATAGCCATGCTGCATTTAGATAATGTAAACTCTCAGTGAACCAGCAGAGGGCTCCAATTATCTAGGTTTGGCATGCTGTTGTCTTCGGTCTAATGGAACCATAATCTTTATAATTGTATTAGAGAGATGAAGGTGAATTGCTGAAAAATATATTTAGGACACTTTTTGTTCAACATTGCCAGCTAAGAAATTTGGAGAGTAATAATTTTGTTGTTCCTACTTAGTGTTCCAATAAAGTGCTGCCATCTTTTCTCCATGATGACACGAAGAGCTCCTTTCTTAATTTATCTATTCATGGGTTCTGGGCATCACCAGCTAGGCAACATCCAATTGCCTATCCCTCCTTATCCTTGAGAAGTTGGTGGTGACCTTCCTTCTTGAACCAATGCAGTTCATGTGGTGTTCGGAAGGGATTAACAGAACGTTGACCCAATGACAGTGAATGAACAGTGATACAGTTTCAAGTCAGGGTATCCGCTGGTGTTCGCACTCATTTGCTGCCCTGTGTCCTTCTAGGTGGCAGACACCACAGATTAGGAGTATTGGTAAATTAAGGAGTATTGGTGAGTTACTAACGTGCATCTTGTGGATGTTATACACTGCTGCCATTGTGTGTTAGTGGTGGAAGATGATAGATTCTATCTTAAGGATATGTCATTGACTGGCATTTGTGTAGCATGAACTCCTACCAGTGAAATAGCCACATAGTGATTTTGGCAACAGGAGTTTGGATTCTTGACTGCCTGAAGCCACATCCAAATCCGGATATCATCATGGTTAAAGTATGGGATAGTAATTAAAATTACAAGCAGTTAAACTTCTTTTCTTTTGTCTAGGGTTCTTGGAGTGATGTTGTAGGAAGACAGAAAGTGTTATTAATTACACTCGTACTTAGTGGATTTAGCTACGGTCTACTTGGCATCTCTAGTAGCATCCCTTTGCTAATACTGGCTAGGATTCCCACTGGTAAGCATATAACCTGAACAGTTTGAAAATAACACTTGACTTATTAACCTGCAAGTGAGTCTCACTACCTTTGGGGTGGGAGGAAGAGTGTTTTTGAACTGCCTGTTTCTGTAAAAAATGTAATCTTTTTAATGTCAAATTTGTAGTGCCTTGTGATAGGAATGAGATTTGTTTTCAATTAGACGTTATGCATTCATTTTATGCATTGCACATTGCTTGTGATTTTTCTGCAGATGTGAATTTCATTCATCTTCAGCCAGTGAGTCTTGTTATATAGTCTTGTTTTTCAACTGAAAACTACTGATTCTTTTGGGATAAAAATTCTGAAACTTTATTGCCAATGAAGTACTTTTGAAATATAGTCACTGTTGTAATTTAAGCTAATTTGCCCACAGTAAGCTATGGTGCCCAGAGCTGTACTGCTCAGATGTGATCTGACTTATATATGTGATCTGATTTATATAGCTGTAGCAAAACTTCCTCCTCTTTATATTCTCGCTATTTATGAAGGGTAGGATTCCATTTGATTTTATAATTTTTTGTACTTCTACATTTTAGTGGCATGTGTACAAGGACCCTGACATATTTTTGCACTTCCATTGTTTTTGTCAATTAATTAGCATTTTCTAATATGGTCAGAGAAAAGGTGAGATACTTGCCAGGCCCCTGACTTGCAGTTGAATGCAGATAATTGGTTGGATTTGACCTGCTTTTTTGGGGGAACAAGACATAGCTAGATGATTTCCATGTTGTCAGATAGCCACTAGATTTGTGAGCTGTACTGGAAGAGCTTGATGTCAATGGAGTTGATTGAAAGCAAGTAAAGTTGTCATAGTGCCAGAGGAGAAAGATGCCAGATAGATGATTGTTTAACCTGAGGTTTGCTATGCCCCAGGTGAGGGGCAAGATTGAAAAGTGGGACCTTTATAGTAACCTCAGCTGGTACGAGAATTGAACCTGTGCTGTTGGTATCTCTCTGCGTTGCAAACCAGCCATCCAGCCAACTGAGCTAACCATCTCTTGATACTTCTAAACTGAAAGAAAGCTAATGGTTTTCAGCGTTTGCTCTCTCAGATCATAAAACTTTGACAATACAAACAAGCTCTCATTATCAGTCCAGGAGGAACCCCAGCCACCTGCTCTCTGACACATTTAAAAGCTTAAATCCAGAAAGTCTGACAAATCAATTATTAAATCCCTTCATACACACAGACCAAGGCCCACGTTGCCATTTGTTCAAAATTCAAACTCATAAAACAAATTAAACTAGTACATTTAAATTACACCCCTTACATCACACTGTCCTCTTGATGATCTAGAATCATATTGTTTCAGAAAACTGAGATGATGATATCAGACTTTATTAAGCCACTGCATCTCTTAGAAATGTAAAAGCTAATAGGTAATTTTGAATAATAGTCTACATTCAGTTATTTGTTGTTCTTCCTTTCTTCAGTTTTTGGGGTAATTGTATTTAATTTAGCTTCTTGTGTTTAAGATGCATGAAAGAAGTACAAAAGTGATTAATAATTACAAGAATATTCACTGTGTTCTATGCATTATAATATGTTGCATTATTTTGTTTGGGTTCCCAAGTCACACTTCACTCAGCAGTGTTGCTGGATCTCAGGTGATGTGTTTGAGGCAAAATCACAGCTGCTGAAATTATCAAGTGTAATAGACTGTCTATGCATTAATATCTCCTTGTTTAATATTTCCTTTAATTGATTTTTGTTTTGTACTTTCAGGTATTTTCAAACATACTCAATCCATCTTGAAAGCTCTTCTGTCAGACCTGATTCCCGAATACGAACGCCCCAATGTAATGGGAAGGTTTAGTGCAGCTTCTAGTGTGGGTTTCATTCTGGGCCCTGTACTTAGTGGATATCTGGTTGAGCTAGATGGAGGCTTCTACACCACTTCCTTTGTTTGCAGTTTCATTTTCTTTGTAAATGCAGGTATGTCTCCTCTACAGAAAATGGGTATGTTCACTGAGTATGTGTAATTAAAAGATTATGAACCCGGCTGATGGGAATACTGGACAAGTCTGATCCAGAGTGAAACTTGGCTCAGCAAAACAAACATTTTTTTTTTCCCTTTGTATTTGACATGAAGGTCAGTCACTGGACATATTCACAGGAGGCTGTCAATGTATTTTTACAAAAAGAACGTCAAAGTTTATTAAACCAAAAGAGAGACACAACCTATTTTGCACTTGATGAGAACTATTGGAAGAATTTCATTACAAACATCAGAAAGAAAGATGCATCCCTTTTCATCCAACGATGCCCTTAAAGACATTCAAGCCTCAATGAAGAGTAGCCCCTATCACCATACTAAAGCTTCTTGCTTAGCTGTAATCTGTTTTCTATCAACAATTCATTCAAATATGATACATTTCTTTTCATAATATCAATACAAACAGGATATATTGGGTGTCAGTTTTCTAGTAGCCAAAAGCAGATATTAGTTTTGAAGTAATAAATCCTCTTTTATTGTGAAGTAGTAAGAACTGACGATGCTAGAGTCAGAGATAACACAGTGTGGAGCTGGAGGAACACAGCAGGCCAGGCAGCATCAGAGGAGCAGGAAAGTTGATGTTTCGGGTCGGGACCCTTCTTCAGAGAAAAAAAGTCTCTTTTATTGTAAGGTTCAGCTCCATCACTCCAGCTTCGTCATTGACTTCCAGACAGTGTTTCACTCAACCTACTCAATATCAGGATGCAGATGATCCAGAACATTCTCAAAGCAACTGTTGACAGACTGAAACTACTCCCACAATAACTTACTTTGACTTCATCAATGTTTGACTCAGAGTAAGCCTGAGCCATCAAGCCTTTGTTGACTGCTTGATTTTGAGCCTTCCATCTTCTCACCTAATCTGTTATCAAACTTTATTCTTGGAATCTCAGAGATGTTACCTGCCTTGACCTTGCCTTGACTTGACTTTCCTGTAATGTTCACTCCTTGTCCACCAGCTTGTACTGTGGCCTCCAACACCATGAGGTATAGAAGGAATGCTGTAGACATATACATTGTAGTTAAATACCGTTAACAGAGATTTTATTGCATTGTGTGGTGTAGATTTTCTGTGTAACAATGTTTTACTATTATAGGTGTTGTCTGGAGGTTGCCTTACAAAGCATGGTTGTATACTCCAACAAAAGAACTGCACTTAACAACAGAAGTGAATTATGAGACCAAGTGCGCTACTTTACAAAAAGAAAAAGTTAAAAATCATACTACAAAATCAGTGATTACAACAACCAATGGAGCAGCAAGACACAAAACATCAAATTCCGTCTGGAGTCAGTGTGTGTTGGTGGGACAAAATATAAAAGGACTAATTCATTCTAATCTATGGGATGTTTTTCTGGTAAGGTTCCTTATGGCTCTAGCTAATCTTCTGTACTACAGCAATTTTTTTCTTGCAGTTGAAGAAAGATTTAACGCACCACCCAGACTAATAGGATATCTCATCAGCTACGGTGGAATAATTGGAGCTCTATCAGGTTTGATAGCTGGCTCTGTCATTGGACTCTATAATCGCAAAGTGATCTTACTGCTGTTACATTCAGGCATCCTCACGTGTTGCACGATGGTGATGTACTCGGTTGCATCGTCCATACAGGTAGTTGTACTGTGCTCAACTGTTTTAGGGTTCTCAACCACTATTGGCCGTGTGTGCATCACCGACATGGAACTGAGCCAAGGTGGGCAACAGGCCAGAGGTACTATGATAGGAGCCGGACAATCAGTCACAGCTGTTGCACGTATACTTGCCCCGTTGTTTTCTGGGATTGTTCAGGAATTCAGTGTGTGCGGTCCCCCAAGACTCGGTGCTGCCTTAGCTTTACTGGCCATCCTCCTTATGGCCTCTATACATTCGAAACTCAATAAAACCACAGAGGCCAAAGTGAAATTACATTAAGGGATTGCAGAAGTTACCATGAAGTAATGTGACTTTTTTGATGAAATATATCAAAAAAAGTTGTAATATTGTGTTTACTTTCTAAAATTGGATGATCATTTTATTCCTTGTTTTCCTTGATATAAAGCGTTTACTCTTTGTTGCACTCTACTTCCATAAATGTTAGTGTCTGTCTGCTACCTGTTGGGTAGGAGTTTTGATAGCAAATGTAGCAAGCAGTGTACCCATGATGGGAAGAACAGATAATCCTAAATAAAAACAAAGTGCTGGAGAAATTCAGCAGGTCTGGCAGCATCTGTGGACAGAGAAACAGAGTTTCAAGTCCAACATGACTCTTCTTCAATTTGTTCAAATCCTGGCCACATGTTCTTCACCACTACCCACCTCACTGCCAAGTCCCACTTTAATTTGGTCAGAGGTGGGGATGCTTCCTGCTTTTACCCTCTGTAAACTTCAGGAGGCTTGTTTTGGTGTCTTAGTTATTGCTTTATCTCATCAGAAAACTCAGCAGAGACCTAGGAATCAAACTGTTAATATCATGACTTCAGTCACTAAATTGCACACCACGTAAGTTCTCTGAGTCACTCAGCAGAAGGGAGATTCCCCCACAAACAGTCCAAAGATACACACACAATGAGAGGTGTGGGGGTGGACTAAGTGAAATGCCTGCCCTGGTGCTCCAGCACCTTGTCCCAGGTGTTTAAATAAAAGATTAAAGCAAAAAAAAAACCTCCAGCCCATAATCCTCAGCTCCTCCACACACTTTTCAAGCCTTATTCATGCCAAACTATGCCACACCTTGATCCTACCTACTCCTGTAGCCCTTTATAGTCCCTATGTCAACGTATTGCCAAGCACCCTCTGCCATCATAGTGCCTGCCAATTCACCCAGTATTAAGAATGGGCAGACTACGTACTGAAAATAAATAATATTCTTGAGCATCCATTGATGAAAAAGTTTTTAAAAACTGATCAATTTCAATAATAACTTTCACTTTATTTAACTTCCCTTAACCCTTATGAAAATAGGTATTTGTGTTTTATAAAATCTCAGATCATATACTTTGTAAGCACATAGATCCATCAAACTATGAACTAGCTGGCATACCACTGTGATAATGATTAGTCTTGAAATCAGTCATACGGCATTAATCGTCTAATGAAGATCATCTGGTTTATGTCAAAAGATAGGGCGTACTATTTCACTTCACTTCAGACAGTTTTTCAAATATTTACAGGGAAGATTTAAATTTCTTGATAACTTATTTGAGAACACCCTTCACAGCAACAATTAGCTTGGCAATTCCAACAAGTTTGTTCAATATTTATCCAAAGGACACTGACCCTCTCCTAAAGGACACCTGACTCCTCCCAATGGTGTCTTGGAACCATAACCAAAAGGATTCTGTACCTCTCCAGAAGGGTATCCTACTTCTCCAAAGAACTCTGGTAAATTTATCCCTTTTCTTGACACATCTGAAGTAAACCAGTCATGTTTTGGACATCCTTCAAACGAAAACAGGCTCTGATTGAAGATAGCTGCACTTTAACGTGTGCATTTGCATGTATGAACCATAAGCGTGCAAAGTACAACCCACCACAGCCTGGCTTCAGGGCTGGGACATCTGGATTCATGCCTCTGATGCTATTTTGGTTAAGCCAGGGATCTATCCATTTGCAAAAATTCTGTGCTTATTCTGGTTACCTAATAACCAAGCCAGCAGCGTACGCTCTGTATCACTTCTATCTGTCAGTGAATGCATGATAAAGACAGATGATAGATAAAGACATTCAAAGAGCTTCTGACAATCAGCTTATAATTGAAGAACATATATGAAGGGAAGATACTCAAGCACACATTGCTTGCAAAACTATATCTCAGCAAGAGTCATTGCTCTTAGTAGACAGAAATTTGCACAATGAATATTTATTACTTTATGATATATTTGAATTTTATGTATTGTCTGTACTTCGTGTATTTATAAAATGGCAACAACTGTGTTAGTTTTATGTTGTAACATATGTATGAGAAATACACTTATTGTGCCAACACCATCTTTCTAAACCGAAGAACAAACCTTCTTTCAAAGCATTTGTTAGTCATTGGGTTAGTCTTTTTGAGAAGAGTAATCACTGTTGTATAAATAAGGTGGTTCTTTTGGCGATGTATTCCAAGGTATCACCCACTTTACAAATCTTATTCTATATCTTCTCATTTTCAATGTCTCTGCTCACTATCTCTTCAACCACACGACATCTCAATTAACTATGTTTACCATCCCAATTCTGGCCTTGCTGTTGTATAGTTCCTCAGCCCTGCTAACACTGGGCCTAAGACATTGGTACCTACCCAACCAACCATCCCCTCCCTTAACCCCAACATTTCCTGAGATTTGACCTTCTGCTTGCTTACACCTAAACTGCTCATTTTGACTACCTTTTGCCACTCACTGTCCACTGCCCTGTACACGCCTGTGTAATGTTTCTCTAGACTGTTTATCCATCTCTGACAAAATTGTAACTGATCATTTTTTTTCTTAACAGTTCATCAGAACTTTGTTTCCTTGTCCTGTCATCACCAGAAACTTTCTCCCTATTGGTCTCGCACCTTACTACTTACCTTAGACCACGGTGGCACGGTGGCTCAGTGGTTAGCGCCAGGGACCCGGTTCGATTCCAGCCTCGGGCAACTGTGTGTCTGGAGTTTGCACATTCTCTCCATGTCTGAATAAGCACCCTCCGGGTGCTCTGGTTTCCTCCCACAGTCGAAAGATGTGCAGATTACGTGGATTGGCCGTGCTAAATTGCCTGTAGTATCTAGGGTGGAAAATGCAGGGATGGGGCGGGTGGTAGGTCTGGGTGGGATGCTCTTCAGAGGGTTGGTGTGGACTCGATGGGCTGAATGGCCTGCCTCCACTCTGTAGGGATTCTATGATATATCCTTCTACCTTGAGCAAACTCATCTTGCCACCATTGTTATAGAGTCAAAGAGTCATACAGCATGGAAACAAACCCTTCCATTCAACCAGACCATGCCAAACATAATCCCAAAATAAACCAGTCCCATTTGCCTGCTCCTGGCCCATATTCCTCCAAACCTTTCTTATTCATGTACTTATCTAGGTGTCTTTTAAACATTGTAACTGTGCCCGCAATACCACTTCCTCAGGAAATTCATTCCACATGCGAACTACCCATTGAATTAAAAAAATTACCCCTCGTGTCTTTCTAAAATCTCTCTTCTCTAACCTTAAAAATATGCTCCCTAGTCTTGAAATCCCCCATCCTAGGGAAAAGACACCTACCATTAATCCTATCATGATTTTATAAACCTCTATAAGGTCACCTCTCAACCTCCTGCATCCTGTAACCTCCTTCCTTTACCCCTCAGTTTCCCAGACAACTGCAGCTGCTCAATGTTCCCATGCTGTCTGTATTTCTGACTCCACTCTCTGTACATTACCCCTTTTCTTTCTGCCCCCTCCACCACTGTATCATAATTCCATCAGATCCCACTTAGTCACTGATCAAGTCATATCACACTTGTTCTGGCCAATGTTTTGTTCCTCAGTCAGCATCATAATCAAGCTATTTGGTCATTATCACATTGCTATACATAAATGTACAGTGTAGCTACATTCTCTATTTTGGAGGGGTGGTGTTGCTTGGTCAGCTCAGTTGACAAGACAGATATCACATTGGATCAAATTAATATCCACAGCACAGTTCAATCCCTGTTCTGGCTGTGGTAGATTCAAGGCTTGTCTTCCTCACCTATCGAATGAAAACCATAGTATTCTGCTGTGGTCATGAAGAGCATTGAATAAATCCACGGCATTCATTTTGTATTTTAAAATATCTATCACATCTGTAATAGATGAAAAACACTGTTTCCTTTAATTATAAAGGATCATAGTTGTTTTTGATTTAGTTTTTTTTTAAAGGTTAAGATGTTTTCAAAATAACCACTTTGGCGTGTAACTAAAGGTTACACTGGAAATTTTCCACAGTTTTCACTGCAATCCCTAAAGCAGAAAGATAGACCACCTGTTCAAGTATTTTCACTCTGAGGATAGTCAGAGTCAACAATGTGGCAAATGAAGTGTAAAGTGAATCAGCTGAGATCATTCAATTTGTTAATACGTGTAGATCCATTGTTATTTTATAAAAGTATCAACTGTTGATGTTCAGAGAAACGTGGGTATAAACTTGCACAAGGAAAGCAATATTAATATGCAGAGGCAGCCAGCAATTGGATAAGTAATTGGCATGTTAGCAAGACAACCTGAGCACAAAAATGTGGAAGTCTTGCTACAATTCATACAGAGCTTTGGTGACAACTGAAGAAGTGTTGCGTGCAGCTTAGGTCTCTACTTATAAAAGCATATCATTGCCTTGGAGGAGGGAGAGTAAAGGTTCACTAAGTTCATTCCTGATGTGAAATGATTGCCCTCTGATGATAAACCGAGCAAATTGGGCTATCTATGGACTTCGAAGGTTTGAAACTTTACCTCATTGAAACATGCAAGCTTCTGAAAAGGTTAGATGCCAGTTGTTTTCATTTTTCTGGGTAGTCTTAAACGTAGCCATGGACCAAGTAGAAGAGTTCACTTTTTTAGGATTAGGATGGGAAGGAATATGAATTTTTGGAATTGTGTACTTCAGAAGATTGCAGATGCTCCAATTGTTGAGTATATTCAAGGTTGGAGTGAAAGCTTTGTAGTCTCTCGGAAATCAAGGTATATTGAGAGTGGAAGGGAAACTGAACTTGAAGCAGATAATCAGCCCTGATCTTATTGAATGAAAGTAAAGGGTCAGAAGATTTTGCTATGTCCTTTCATAAATTTCCAATCGCTGAATTTTTATTGAATTCTATTGTCTTAGGGGCAAAAGTGCATTGGCACTATACTTAATTTTATTTTCACAAAATGGCAGGTCTTACCCAAGCTATTTGTATTTCTTATCCTTGTAAGAGGTAAAGTTGCCATGGTTCTACTGGTCCATAGGGCTGCTGTCATGTTAGAGAGAGACAACTGGTGATGCAAAAACAGAAATTGCAGTTCTGGTAGCATTTGTGGAGAGAAATCAGAGTTAATATTTTGGGTTGGGTGACCATGGTGGTGGTTTAATATGAGGGTCACCACACCTTAGGCAAGAGGAGAGGTTGAGATGGAGAGTCCTTCATAGTGACCTCAGCCAGTGCAGGAATTGAACCCATGCTGTTGGCATCACAAACCAGCCATCCAACCAAGTGAGCTAACGTTGTTCAATATTGGTCAGACCACTATATAGTAATGTTTACAAAAGAAATGTGAAAAGACTAGTTGTTTGACAATTGTTCTCTAAATATTCTCAAGTAATATTTAATTCTTGTAAAATTTGGTTTTCAGTTTTATCTGCAAATGTTATGTAAGTTATTGGTACGTGCATTGGTGCTAATAAAATTGATATCCTAATAAACTGTAAATTTTTGGGATGTATATGAAAGACTCAGTGGTTTATTGCCCACCCTTAATTGTTGTGAAAAAGTTGAGGACCTTCTCCTTGAACTTTATATTCTTGTGAAGATGCTGCTCCCACAAACTTATACAGTGTATAATTACAGCATTTTTAACTAGAGATAATGGATGAATGCCAACATTGTCCAAATCAGAGAAAGCGGATGTATTGTCATGATACTGTTGCTCTTGATGTTCAATGTCATAGAAGAATAGAATCATAGAATCATTACAGGGTGAAAGCAGGCCATTTGCCCCTTCGAGTCCACACCAACCCTCTGAAGAGCATCTCACCCAATCCCTGTAACCCTGCATTTCCAGTGGCTAATCCACCTAACCATCCCTGGATACTATGGGCAATTTCCCATGGCCAATCCACCTAACCTGCACATCTTTGCACTGTGGGGGAACACAGGAGTACCCAGAGGAAACCCATGCAGACGCTGGGAGAATGTGCAAACTCCACACAGACAGTCACCCAAGGCTGGAATTGAACCTGGGTCCCTGGTGCTGTGAGGCAGCAGTGCTAACCACAGAGTCCTGAATGATGAGTGCATTACATATTGCTAGTACATTCTACACAGGCAGGGGTAAAAGAAATCAAATTGTATTGACTCAACCACAGTATTTTCAAAGGAGTTACAGAATTTAAATATTATATACTTGCAGTGAATATTCCCAATGAGCATGCAGCACGGGAAAAGGCATTGAAAATAAAACAATTAAAAATAGATGGCCCAAGGGTGCAACTGTAAGGAATCCCCGTTGTGATTTTCTGGAGAAGCAATGGTCAATCTATGATAATTATCGCCACTTCCCTGTGTGTGAAATAGGATTCCAATCGCTGCAGAATTTTCTTATTGCTTTGCATGTTAGAGCTGTTTACATTCAATTGCAGCCTTATATTGAAGCTAATTAATACCACACTGCCCCGGTGACTAACCCTTTCCTTATCCACTTTTGTTTATTTGCTCCTCTCTATCCACCTTGTGTCCATTTTTGGACCAAGGTTGTGATGAGGTCAGCTGCCAGATGGTTGTGGTTAAATTTTAAATGTGCATCAGTCAGCCTGGTATTGATGAGTAACAGGTACTTGCTTGTACTATTGATTACTCCTTCCATTGCATTGCTGACTTAAGCAGGCCAATGGCATGGTAGTTGGCTGCATTAAATTTGACCTGATACCCAGGCAATTTTCCATGTCATTTACATAACTGTCACTATTATAGTTGTGCTAGAAGAGCATAGCTGGTGAACCTAGAGAGTTTAGATGTGCAGATTATCAGCATTAGTTCCGTGCTCTTGTGGCACAGTACCAGTATCCCTACTCTGAGCCAGGAAGCCTGGGTTCAAGTCCAATCTGCTCAAGAGGTTTGTAATAACATCTCTGAATAGGTTGATTAGAAAGGACTCCTAGCCCTTTCTGTGTTGAACATATTCAGCTACTTCTCAACATTGTCCTTGAATGATAGGGATTGTAGCAGTCAGCAACAGCTAGATATTACCAGACCTACTGGGTTTCTTCATCAATTTTTGTTTTTTTCAGATCACCAGAATGCACAATTCTTTGTTTTACACACTGCTTTTGTCTGAAGAAGCTCACCACTACTTCAGCTTTATCTCTCTCACTCACAATGTGTTTTGAGGAAGGGGTTGTTCCTTTCATTACGCATCTGGTTGTCCACAACAATTTTCAAATGCATGTCAGAAGGTTTGCAAAATGCATCAGTGTTGTAGCATATCGTCTTTATTTTAGTCCAAAGTTCAAAGGGGACAAGGAAGCAGTGGTTTGGTCCCTATCCTGGGACCAGAAGGCCCAGGTTAAGTCTGAGCTGCTGCAGGGGTGTCATAATATGCCCAAAAAGTTGATGGTTGAATTACATTTTTTTTAATTATTTTTCATCAAACAGATAGCTGTTAAAAGTTGAATTTCCTGCTTGTTCAGGAGTCAGGCTGTGATCTGAATGCTGAGTGGGTGGTCACTATGCAACAGAAACTACTGGATCTTTTGAGGCTTGTGCTTAACAAACCACTAAAATTAATGGCCCCAGTAGCCATTACCTCAAAGTCACATGTACAGATTCCATGAAAGGGCTTGTGACACGGTGGTAATTTTCATATCTTTGAATCAGAAGGCCTGAGTTCAAGTCTCACCTGCTCCAGACGGGTCATAACGCATCTGAACAGACTGATTTAAAATTATCCGCATCCCCGGTTAAATACTACAGGCTGGAAAATAAACAAAGTTTCAGAATTACTCTGAGAAGTTCCAGTGCCAGCAAACTGGCAGAAAAAGGAAATAGCTTTAAAATGAATTTATTTTTAATGAATACATTCACATTGATATTACAAAGACAGACAAACTAATAACTGAAATGTAGATTACAGCTTTGTTACACAGATGATTAATAACAATTGCCATTCACTGAACATTTTTATTAACACAAAATTCAGTTAATATTTTTTGGTTAATTACTTATCAAACATGACAATCAACCTGCAACATGGAGCAAATACTCCTCTAAAGAGGAAATATTAGCAAATGATTGTTGTCTGTTAAAGCTTAATTTCAACATTAAACAGAAGTCCTTGTTTTATTCAGTTCTGAGATGTCAGCATCACTGACTGGGCCAGCATTTATTGTCTTTCTTAGTTGCCTCAATGTGGTGGTGGTGAGCTGCCTTCTTGAACCACCACAGTCCATGTGCTGCTGCTAGACCCACAATGGCACGCAGGGAATTCCAGGCATCACTAGACCCCAGATGTCATTAAGCAGGGCTTTGCACTGTTGATATTTTTGACACTGTAATTTCCTGTGTCTAAGTCGATACCAGATTCTCAGTCCTTTTCCACTCCCTTTTTCCTTTCTAGCAGTAGACACAACTGAATAGCTTGCTAGGCCATATCAGAGGGCAGTTCAGAGTCTGTGGATGTTGAGTCAGATATAGGCCAGAACAGGTTAAGGGCAGCAATTTTCTTCCCTAAAGGAGATTAGGGAATCAGATGTGTTTTTATCAACATTAGACTCTTAGTTCCAGATTTTTATTGAATCCAAATTCCACCAAAATGGGATTTGAACTTGGGTCTGTGGATTCATAGTTAAGCAATAATTCCAGACACTATCACCTTCCCCACAAGGCCGAATGGTAAAAAGCATTTCAAATCTGGCAGGACATATGCAGAAGCAAGTTTGAGCTACAGACTTCATATGATACAAACAATACTTGAACAGTTACAGACTGCATTAAATCTCAGAGGGTTTAGCCTGACAGTGAATGGCCATTGGAGGCTCCAAGAGTAAAGGTGAAATCCCTGGTGGGCAAGGGAAAACTTCAAAGACAAACTATGCATTGCCAGACTTGAAAAGCTGGAATTAAGTGAAGCATTTGAAGCTCATATTGCATGTCATTGCCATAGCTGGTGGACACTATGACGCAGTTATAGGGTCACAGAAACAAGCTAAAGGACTAATAAGGTTGCAAAATAAAAATGCTGGCAATCTATTAGTTAAGACAACAGGAAGCATTTACTTAAACTGCAGACAGTCGGACTTATCCAGGAAAATACTGTAATTACGCAACCTGTCAGTCTCTCTGCTTCATGCTGCCATTTAATCAAAATGGTGCACCATAAAGGAATAGTATATACTGCCTGTAAATTGTTGGGACAAAATCATGTGCATGTCCACCAGGCATTTCAACTTCACTCATGGAACCTCCAATGGCTGTTCACTGTCATACCGAACCTCCCTCTGAGATTATCTACACCTCACACAATCTGTCCAAATGTTGCTTTTACGTCATGCCTCACACTTGCTTATGCGTGTGCTTTCTACCATCGACTAGATTTGGCCTTGTGGAATCTTGCAATGAGTTTCTCATCTGAAGGGAGCTTGAAAGTTCATCTCTTTCAGCCTGCACAAGCAACTTCCGCTGTTAGTCACATGATGAGATGGTGCCCACTGCTGGCACCATGTTGCATGATGGATCCTCACTAGCCTTCAGCTCGTTGAAAAATCCATCTTGGGGATTTTGTGTTCTTACAAACATCAGAACTTTAATCACTGTGCATGGATTGAAAGAATCAACAAGGATAAACTGCTACACACAAAGGGATCAGCAATAACTGTCTGGAATAAGCTGTTAAGGGACAAAGACAAGCTGTTACATCAGGAATTGAAAGCAAATTAGCCAAGCCTGGGAAAAGGAGGAGTTGAGGGTACATAAACAAAACTGCTTTGACACCTGCTTTATAACCAACTGCCCTGTAGAAGAATTTAAGGAGTTAATTGCAAATCAGGTTGGGTCTTCAAACAGATAGTTAAGGCTAAATGTAACAAGGAATAGAGGAGTTACTTCTGATAAGGAAGTAAGCTGCAGACTCAAGGGTAATCATAAAAGTAATCAATATTGAAATTGTAGCTAAATTCCACCATTAATTGGCAAATAGACAAATTGAATTGTGGGGTTTAACTTATTTCCTTAAGGGATTTTCTTTTGTTTGCTACATGCAATAAAGTTTAAATCATTGTTTTAGTATTTGATCGTGTGAGATTTCTTAATAAGCAGCCATGGTGATTTACCCACACTAATTTGATGCTACCATCCTTTTCCTGGCATAGATCTATAGCATCTGGCTGCTTTAGTATGGTAGAGGAAAGCAACTTGGTAGTCTGAGAAGACGCTCTTGCCTTCAGTAAGATAACGGTTTGATGGAATGATAGCAACTTGGCACAAGTTACACTTGGCTTGGTAGTTTTTGTAACAATGTCTGTGAGGGAGACCTCAATGTTTGTTGTTACTCCTTAAGTCTCCAAAGCTCTTCTCCTACCAAGTCCATATGAATAGTTTGGATGGGACTTAACTTAAAGGGTTAATACTGAGGAGTGCATTCAGAGCCTAGCACACTTTAATGCAATGGGATCGCAAAGTACTGTATGATGCTGAAAGGATATTAAATTGAGGAACAATCCAGTTGAGCAA